CTTCTAGATGGTGTAATGGCTTTCCTTCGATTCAGTAATCCTTATGCATTTCTTGAAGAAATTATGTAACGCCCCCACTCAACTTTTACATATATCACATACTCTGAAGCATGGGTACTTCGAAAAACATATCGTACCCGTACCAGGTACTTACTGGTGTATGATATATCGTATGGTACTTCTGCATACTTACCAGGTACATGAAACACATATCTAAGTTTTTTCTTCTTAATTTTTGGTGTACCTAGATGTACCTAGTATATATCCAATCCTTACCGTACCTTAGTTGAAATAATATTTTCTTCTACTACAGAGATAAAACTCCTTTGATTAGACTTCTTTTTTATTTTTTGTTTTATACTTAGCATGATTTTAAAATTAAACTATGGTTTGTAAGTTATTTAATATATTGACATTTAATTTTGATTTATACCTTTACTTTTGACATTAAATGTTAATTGTAAGTTGAACCTTAATAAATTAAACCATTTAATTAATTTTTGTATTACTCTAAATTAAAAATAAATATTTTTTTTTACAAGCATACCAAGCTGTACTTGTACCCTATTTTTTTTTTAATTTTACCGTATCGACATACCCATATCGTACCAGTACTAGTACTCGTACCCATACCTGTGCTTCATAGGTCACATACTATATGAAAGTGCAATAGAAAAAAGTAAATAATAGTATTTTTTTTGATAAGTAATAATAGTAAAGTTACTGAAGTAATATCTTTTCGTATCTTTTTATTATTAATATTTTATTTTCTTCAAAATTTAAATGCCTTTGACATGAATGGCTTTTTCGTAGACTATATGAAATTAGTCACGTGCAACAAAGTTCTACCCTTTTTTTTTTTTTTTTTTTTTTTTTTGTTATTAGGATGCATCGTTCTTCAGATAATACAACTCAACCCAATTAATATCTTCAATGATAATAACATTAAAAAAGAATGATTTTTGACGAACTTGCCAAATAAGTATAATATATATAATGAACCCCATGGGAATAAAGGAAAATAAAATGAAACAACCTTATACAGAAATTGAACTGTTGGGCAAACATGTCACTTGTAAAATCTACATCGACTTCCCTAAGGTAAATTACTGGGTCCGCCTCTGTTTGGATTGCTCTTCATCATCATCGTTGAAGTTGTAACCCTTCTTGGTTGGTTGTACATGTACCACTGTGCTATTCCTTATTATGTTATTGCATTTTTTTTTTTTTTTGTAGTGCTAGAGTCCCTCCGTGAATGTTTTGGTTCCTCAGTGCTATCCTAGTCCCTCAGTTGTACCCCAATTGTTTGTTTTGTCATTGGCCGTTTCTTGACTTTATCATGTTTCACATGAAGCTTCTCCCTTATTTTCTTTCAAGGATTCATTTCTAAATGTCTCATTATTTGTTTGCCATCTTGTGGCATAACATGTTGACATATTATTTTGTTTTTTTTAGTAGTTGGTGTGATTCAAACCTTAGAATCTGCTCCACAATAGCTCCTTTGTTACCTCTAGACCTGAGACGAAAATTTTTGGAGTGTAACAGTGATATCATCTCACATGATGTCACCGGCTAATAAAAAGCCGCAAATACATTAAGTGGAAAACTTTTGTCTCCCACAAACTCAACAATGTTGTGGTCCCTATCGCAAATCAAGAATGCTCATTGGATGGTGATACTGTCATGTGGTATCAGCGGTAGATCCATTATTTACTCACCCGAGATACCGGGATATTATTTCATGCTTAATAATATATATATATGTATATATATGTTTAGAGATTGTTTAACCTTGGCCAGTTGGCCTTGTAAGTTTTTGGGCCATTGCCTAGGTAGATTTGAGCTATAGGATAGTGTTCAGTTACTGTTAATTGGATTTTGAAACGTGAGATTTGTGGACCTAAGATGATGGATATGTCTTAGAAGGTGATGTGACCATGTTAGAGACGTGTTGGACATCGACACTCCTTGGACGCATGTCCGTTACTTATAATTTAATTTAATTTTTCTGTGTCCACAATTAAAACTAAAAATCATAATTTCGAACATGTGTCCATCACTTCTTGACCATGTCTATCGCTAAAAAATAAACATGAGACCAAAACTTCTTGGACATTTCCTAATACATGATTTTTAAAGTTTGAGAATTTGACATAAATATCTTATACTCTTAAAAAATGATTAATTATTAAATGACAAAATATGAGAAATCTCTTGTTAATATTCAACCAAAGAATGTTCAGAAATATATAGGAAAAAACTAAGGTATAAAAGGAAACTCTCCTAAGACCTAATCCCTATAAATCAGGGATATCAACATTCCAATTACAGGACATATACACAGACATATACATGATTGTAATACACATTTTCCCCATCTACTGTGCTGTCAAATCTTCACGGCCTATTCATACCATAATTACCGATTCTAACACTCCCCCTCAAGCTAGTGAGTGGATATTCTCCATTCCTAGCTTGCTATCGATGGACTGAAATGCCGAACCATTCAATCCTTTAGTTAACATATTTGCAAGTTGACCCTTAGTTGACACAAATAGGGTACAGATCAGTCTGCTTTCCAACTTCTCCCTTATAAAATGCCTAACTTCCACACGCTTGGTGCGTTCATGTTGCACAGGGTTATGTGCAATATTAATTGCTGACTTGTTATCACTGTATAGCTTCATTGGTCCTTTCCATGCAATCTTCAAGTCTTCCAAAATTATTTTCAGCCATAGAAGCTCACAAACTCCCAACGCCATAGCTCTGAACTCAGCGCTTGTGCTTGACCTTGCAACTACATTTTGTTTCTTGCTTCTCCACGTTACAAGGTTGCCTCCAAGGAGTGTATAATAGCCTGAAGTCGATTTTCTGTCATCAATTGATCCAACATAATTTGCATCTGTGTATGCTTCCAATGTTAATGCATTGCCTCTTCTAAATAATACTCCCTTCTGGAGTACCTTTTAAGTACTATAGAATTCGATGTGCTGCTTGAAGATGTACTTCTTTTGGGTTGTGCATAAATCGACTCACTACTCCTACAACAAAGGCTATGTCTGGTCTGGTATGAGAAAGATAGATTAGTTTTTCAACTAATCTCTGATAGGATTTTCTATCCGCCACCGCATTTTTTGGAGCTTCACAGAGCTTGTGATTCTATTCAATGGGTGTCTCCACTGGTTTACACCGTAGTTTCCCAGTCTCATTTAATAAATCTAGTACATACTTTTGTTGGGATATAAAGATCTCATGTCAAGAGTGAGCCACTTCAATGCTGAGGAAGTATTTTAACCTACCGAGTTCTTTGACCTCAAACTCTTGCAATAAACACTTTTTCAACGCCTCCATTCTTTGCAAATCATCTCCTGTTACTATCATATCATCCACATAGACTAATAGAGCTATAACTCCCCTTGAAGCAGAATGTTTGACAAATAATGTGTGATCACCTTGACTTTGTTTGTAACCCAAAGCTTTCATTACCCTAGCAAATCTGCCAAACCAAGTCTTGGGAGACTATTTTAAGCCATAATGTGCCTTTTTTAACTTACACACCTTATGTTTTTTTGACCCATCCTGGAGGAACCTACATATAGATTTCTTCATCAAGATCACCATGTAAAAAGCATTCTTTACGTCAAATTGCTACAAACTCCAACCACGATTAGCTGCTAAAGATAATATGATTCTTATAGTACTCATTTTTGCAATAGGAGCAAATGTTTCAAGATAATCTATACCATAGGTTTGAGTATACCCCTTGGCTACTAACCTTGCCTTATATCGTTCAAGTGATCTGTCTGCCTTGTATTTCACAGTGAAGACCCATTTACATCCCACTAGCTTCTTTCCTTGAGGCAATTCCACCAAGTCCCATGTTTTGTTCTTCTCAAGTGCATCCATTTCAACCTTCATTGCTTCTTTCCACTCTTTACTTCCCAATGCTTCAAAGACAGTTTTTGGGATAGTAATAGCGTTGAGGTGGATAAGAAACTTTTATGTCCATTAGACAGCTTTTCATAGGGTAGAGAGTGAGACGAAGGTATACAGGCTGTTGAGTACACTTCCTAACACATTTTCTAATCGCAATAGGGAGATCAACATCAACAACTGGCATATTACTTGCATAATCTTTAGAATTAGGAGTTACCTCAACATTATCAGTACCAAAGTTTGGTTCTGAATCAAGAACCTGCATTGGTTGAGCAAGTGCTTCTTTCCTCCTTGAATATACTTGCAATGGGCAAATAGCACTTTGAATCTGTTTATCTTTTTTCGCTGGGCTCAGAATACTTGGGTCTGACTCATTCGGTAAAGGAATAGAGATAGATTACGGTGGATTTTGATGTTGTGAGGAGAAGGATGAAAGATAAAGTAAAAGCAAATCTTTGTCCTTATCCATGAATGATGTCTCTCCCTGAAGATAAGGATTCAGAAAGTAATTCTCGATTTCAACGAATGTTACATCTGTAGAGACAAAGAATCGTTTTGTTGGAGGATGATAACACTTGTAACCTTTCTGTGTAGAAGAATATCCAATAAAAACACACTTAAGAGCCCTTGGATCAAGTTTCCCACGGTTATTTGAATGAATATGAACAAAGGACATACACCCAAAGACCCTAATACTAAGTGATTTGTTGTTTTGAAGTCAGGGAAAAATTTCGAAAATAGTTCCATGGGGCTGTTATAATCAAGAATTCGAGTGGGTAATCGATTAATCACATGTGTAGCTGTTAAGACAGCTTCTCCCCAATAATCTTTTGGAACATTTTTTTGGGAAAAGAAAGGCTCGAGTAACAGCTGGCCATTTTTCCGTTCTGTCACACCATTTTGTTGTGGTGTGTTGACACACGAAGACTCATGAATGACTCCCTTTTCTTCAAAGAATGGTGACAACACTTAAAAAAAGAAAAATGTTTAAGACCACTAATTTAGGAGCTCTAGGAGAGCTCTAATTGGTAGGGCCACCTCCTGATGCGATGTTTTACCTTCTTTTTTTTTTTTTTTTTTTCTTCTCTTTCCGTGTGAGCTGGCAGTAGTGCTGCTAATTTAGTGGTATGTATGACCACTCTTAAAATAATCCCTAGCATTATCAAACCGAACTCTTTTTATCTCATCCCCAAATTGGTATTTCACTGTGTGAATTTTTTTTTGAAAGGTTAAACTGACATCTGATTTTTGTTTTAAGAGAAAAACCCATGATACACGAGTACAATCGTCAATACATGAGACAAACTAACGAGCCTCAGAAATATTATGAACTGTAGAAGGTCCCCAAATATCACTGTTAATTAGAGTAAAAGGTATGGAAGCTCTCGTATTACTTCTTTGAAAGGAAACACGCTTATGTTTTGCAAGTTCCCAAACATCACAATGAAATATGCCTAGATCAACTCCTTTAAACAAACCAGGAAACATTACTTTAAGAATATTGAAAGGAGGATGACCAAGACGAATGTTTATTGGAAAGAGAATACTCAGAAAGCAGAGGCAGTAGAATAGGATCCTTCGTTCTATTTTGCCCATCAGAATCTTCAAGAAAGTAGAGCCCATTCCTCTCCCTAGCAAGTCCAATCATCAACCCCGTGCTCTGGTCGTGAAATTTACAAAGTGCAGAAGAAAATGTCACCATACAGTTCAAATCCTTTGTAAGCTAGTGAATTGAAACTAGATTGGTAGACAATTTTGGCACATGCAGAACATTTTTTGAAACAAAGTTCTGATTTATAACTACACCTCCTTGGCCAGCAACTGTAACCAGTGTTCCATTAGCTCTTATTACTAGGACAAGGATTGTAAGAGACAAACCCATGACAAGATTGGGTCATATGATCCGTGGCCCCAGAATACACTACCCAAGTTCCTTTTAAGGTTGACACATTAAGTGCGTATGGTTGAGAATTACCTGAAAGAGCCAAGGAACAAGTACCTGCACAACCCGTAGGTTTCTTTTGTGAATTATGTAGTTTATATTATTCATTAAGGATAGTTTAGTACTTTAGGTTATTAGGGTTTCATCCTATTGCTTATATATTTGTACTTCTTTTGATTAATCAATAGACACAAGTTTTGTCATCTGTTAACATGGTATCAGAGCTAAGTTTCAAACATTAGCATACCTGTCGCAGTCGTTCTTCACAGGGTTGTTGTCACAGCTGTTTCTTCCTCTTCGCAAGGCTTCGTTGCAAGGCTTCGATGATTTGTCGCATTCGTAGGTCATCACCGAAGCAGTTGGTTCTGGTTCAATCGAAACCCTAGGAAGCCGTCATCGCTGGTCTGTGGTCCTTCGTCACTGGTCTCTGGTCCATTCGAAGACCTAGGTTGGGTATCTCACTGATCTGTAGTCCTTCATCGCTCTGGTCTGTGGTCCTTCATCGCTGGTCTCTATCTTTGTCTTCATCGCTGGTCCATTGCCTTCATCGCTGGTCTCGATCTTTGTTTGGTTCAGTTGAGGACGAGGACCAAACATCACTACTCTTCACAGGTCGAGCATCTCTCTCTCTCTTCTCTGCTGCCTTTTACTCTGTTTTGAATGCACTGTAGTTTGGGTATACAATATGGCTGATGATAAATTGCAAGCTATTACTACTAAATTAGATGGTACCAATTATTCTTATTGGTCTCATGTGATGAAAAATTTTATAATCGGTAAAGGCATGTGGAATTATGTTATTGGTATAACTATTAGACCTGTGGAATCTCAAGAAACTGTGGCCGATGTTGCTAAATGGGATAAGGAAAATGCACAAATTCTTACTTGGTTTCATAATTCAGTTCAAACTACCATTGGTATGAATTTTTCCAAGTATTCTACTTCTAAACAAGTTTGGGACTATTTGAAGACTATGTACCTTGAGTCTAACTCTGCAAAACAGTATGAACTTGAGATGTCTATTCGCAGTGCTAGTCAGAAAGATAAGTCCATTCAGGAGTTCTACAATGAGATGACTACTTATTGGGATCAGCTTGCTTTGATGGAACTGTCCGATTTACAGTTACTTAACAGTTATATCAAGTATCGGGAGAAACAACATCTTGTTCAATTTCTCATGGCCCTTCGTGATCAATTTGAGCCACTTCGGGGAGCTATTCTTCATCGGTCTCCCTTGCCTTCTGTGGATGGTGCTGTCCGTGAGCTTATTGCGGAAGAAACTCGGTTTAAGGTGGCTCATGGTACTCCTGCTTCCCAGTCAGTTTTTGCCACTCCTCCGCTTTTGCCCACCCCATCTTCTCATTTATTTCAAGTTACTGGTAAGCCCAAGCCTCGGGTTTCCATGGATGAGTGCAGCTTCTGTCATCAAAAAGGCCATTGGAAACATGCATGTCCTAAACTTTTGCAGCCCAAGGGTCGTTCATCTGGTTCACCATTCGCTAAGCCGACATTTTCAGGATCTCGCTCATCTGCCGCCTTTTCTGCACCAGTTTCTGAGAATGATCCATCTTCCAATATGCAGTCTATGTTTGAGCAGTTCAAGTCTTTCATGGTGGCCAATCCAAATCTTTCGTCCCAAGCCTCCGCTATGACTACCACTCAGTTCGGTTTGTCTGGTTCATCCTCTTCAGGTAATATCTATACTTCGTGGATCTTTGATTCTGGTTGTTCACATCACATGACCCCGGTTGCATCTCTCCTCAGTAATTGTGTCTCTCCTTCTTCTTCTATCACTATTGCTACTGCTAATGGTTCTTCTATGCCTGTACACTCTGTTGGTTCTATTTCTTGTTCCCATTTGTCTCTTTCTCCTATATTTTATGTGCCTAACCTCTCCCTCAGTCTTATTTCTATTAGTCAATTATCTGATTTCGGTTTTGATGTTGTTTTCTTTTCTTCTCATTGTGTTGTACAGGACCGGGTATCCAAAAGGCAGATTGGGATCGGGCGTAGAGTTGGAGAACTATATATCTTGGACAGCTTACATGTTCCTCTAGAAGTGTCTTTTACTGCATTGTCTTCTTTTTGTTTAAACAATAAGTCCTCTTTGTTTTATATTTGGCATTCTAGGTTAGGTCATCTGTCGAGTGATCAGTTGAGGATGTTAGTTAGGTCTGGACATTTAGGCAATTTTCCCATTAGTGATATTTCTGAGTGTCGTGGTTGTAAACTGGCTAAAATGTCTGCTCTTCCTTTTAATAAAAGTAGTTCTATTTCATCTTCTCCTTTTCAATTGGTCCATACTGATGTTTGGGGTCCTTCCCCTATAGTTACCAAAGGTGGTTCGCAATATTATGTAGCTTTTGTGGATGATTACAGTCGGTTTACTTGGGTTTATTTAATGACTCGAAAATCTGATTTTTACAAAATATATTCTAATTTTCACTCCATGATTCGCACTCAGTTACCACCATTAAAATTCTTCGTTCTGATTTGGGGGGTGAGTATTACTTGTCTGAATTTGAGGAGTATTTAGCTATTCATGGAACTATTTATCAGTCTTCGTGTTCTGACACTCCTGCACAAAATGGTCGGGCTGAGCGCAAACATCGTCATCTCCTTGATACAACTCGCTCTTTGTTGCGCTCATCTTTTGTCCCTTCTGTTTTCTGGGGAGAAGCTGTGCTCACTGCTGCATATCTTCTCAATCGGATGCCTACTCTTCTCTCAGGCTCATCTCCGTAGGAGCATCTTTTTGGGGTTACTCCCAATTATTCTCTTCGTATTTTTGGTTCTGCATGCTTTGTGCTCCTGCCTAAACGGGCGCGCTCTAAGCTTAGTTCTCGTTGTGTCCTATGTGTCTTTTTAGGGTATGGCATTAATCAGAAAGGTTATCGGTGCTATGATCCTGTCACCAAAAAGCTATATGTGTCTAGGCATGTCACTTTTTTAGAAAAACTACCCTACTACACTATACCTTCCACCCCTGTTCCTATTACTAAGGATGAATTGGTTCATGTTGACCCATTTCCTCCTAATGTTTCTCCTGATGAGTTTGTTTATGGCCTTGAGGTCTCTACTTTGCCTCTTACTAGCACTTCTAATACCTCTCTAGCTGTTTCTTTGGATCCCGCTCCTCCTGCACATCACTTCCCAAAGCGAGATCGTCATCCTCTGAACTGGTATAGTTTTGGTAATACATGTTTTTCCCTTTCCTATCAGTCTTTTCTTTCTTGTCTTCATACATGTTTTGATCCCAGGTCTTACAAGGAAGCTTGTCATGATCCCAATTGGATTGCCGCCATGAATGATGAGTTAACTGCTTTGGCTAACACTCAGACTTGGGATTTGGTTCCATTACCTGCTGATAAGAATGTTGTAGGCTGTAAATGGGTCTATAAGGTCAAAACCCTTTCTGATGGGTCTTTGGAGCGGTACAAAGCTCGTCTAGTTGCCCAAGGCTTTTCTCAGGAGTTTGGGATTGATTACGATGAGACTTTTGCCCCCGTTGCCAAGATGACTACTGTTCGTACTCTTATCTCTGTTGCCGCTGCCCATCATTGGCCCCTGTTTCAACTAGATGTCAAAAATGCTTTTCTGAATGGGCATCTTGCTGAAGAAGTGTATATGCGCCCTCCACCGGGTCTCTCTCACCCTCCTGGTGTTGTTTGTCGTCTTCGCCGTGCTTTATATGGTCTCAAGCGGTCTCCTCGTGCTTGGTATGAGCGATTTCACTCTGTTGCCCTTCAGCTTGGTTTTCGCCCTAGTCATCATAATTGTGCTCTCTTTGTTCGGCGCACTTCTGTTGGGCTTGTTCTCCTTCTCTTATATGTGGATGATATGATCATCACTGGCTTTGATTATAGTACTATTGAGGAGGTTAAGCATCAGTTGTTTCAGGAGTTCGAGATGAAAGATTTGGGGTTTCTTCGGTATTTTCTTGGTATTGAGGTTGCTACTTCTTCTACCGGATATCTTCTCTCTCAGACTAAATATGCTCGTGATATTCTTTCTCGTGCCAATCTCACTGATGAGAAAATTGTTGACACTCCTCTTGAGTTGCATGCTAAGTTCTCTGCTTCTGATGGCATTCCTCTTGAGGATCCCACTTTATATCGCGAGTTGGTTGGGTGCCTTGTTTATCTCACTGTTACTCGTCCGGATATCTCCTATGCTGTGCACATTCTCAGTCAGTTTATTTTTGCTCCTCGTTCCACACACTGGGCTGCCTTACTTCGTACTTTGCGCTACCTTCGTGGCACTTTGTTGCAATGTTTACTGTTATCTGCCTCTTCGGACTTGACTCTTCGTGCCTATGCTGACGCTGATTGGGCAGGTGACATCTCTGATCGCAAATCCACTTCTGGTCTTTGTGTTTTCCTTGGCGATTCCCTCATATCCTGGAAAAGTAAGAAACAGTCTGTCGCTGCTCGTTCCACTGCTGAGGCTGAGTATCGTGCCATGGCTCATGCTACTTCCGAGATCGTTTGGCTTCGCTGGCTTCTTTCTGATATGGGTGTCTCTCTTTTTGATTCGACTCCGTTGTATTGTGATAATCAGAGTGCTGTCCAGATTGTCCATAATTCCGTCTTTCATGAGCGGACCAAGCATGTTGAAATAGATTGTCACTTTGTCAGACAACATCTTCAGGTTGGCACTATTACTCTCCCTTTTGTTCCCTCATCTCTTCAGTTGGCCGATTTTTTTACGAAGACTCATACTGTTGCTCGTTTTCATTTTCTTCTTGGCAAACTTTCGATACTTTTTGCGCTCGCATCCTCAGTTTGAGGGGGGGTGTGAATTATGTAGTTTATATTATTCATTAAGGATAGTTTAGTACTTTAGGTTATTAGGGTTTCATCCTATTGCTTATATATTTGTACTTCTTTTGATTAATCAATAGACACAAGTTTTGTCATCTGTTAACATCTTTAATGTTCCCAAAAAGTATCTCAACTTCTCAATCTCTTCTCTATTGAACTCGGATTGCTCCTGAGAGAATTCTCCTTCTCCTCCTGATTGTGTCGAGGTCAAATGTGCTTGTCCTGGCCCTCCTCCTTGATTACTTTTTGCAGTCCAAGGATTATTTTTAGTATTTGAGGGCTTACCATGGGGTTTCCAGCACCTCTCCCTGCTATGTCTCGGCTTCTTACAGTAGGTACACCATAAAGAGTCTTTATTACCTGCTCTTGATCCTTCTGGCAGCCCATTATTCCCTCCTACTCCGCTGGAATAGGCATTTGACTGCTGCCGGTCTGATTTCACAGCTACTGGATTTGAAGCTTTTGTAACTAAGGCTGAGCCATCTGCTGGTTGAGGCTCCATCATAACTCCTCTTCGTCCTTCTCCACGAATTATGGCAATTGTTCATTGAGTGAAGGAATTTCTTCCTTTCCCAATACTTGCACTCGGACAGGATCGAACTCAACATTTAATCTGGCAAGAAAGGTGTAAATCCTCTCTTTTTTCATAAAATGTTTAAGAAGGGCTGCATCATTGATACACTTCATCTCAATACACTGATAATGGTTCAACTCCTGCCATAAATTTTGTAAAATCTGGGCATATTCAGTGACCGAGCGGTTATCTTGTTTGGTAGATGAGATTTTTGTCTTAATCTCATAGATTTATTCAGCATCTCGGACTTTAGAATAGGTCTGCCTACAGGCCTCCCAAATCTCCCTTGATGTTGTCAGCTAGTACCTATCCTCCTTGAGTTTGAGGGGGGCTGTTAATGTAAATTGTAAATAATAAATCACCACTCCACCTACCACCTACACCTACTACCACATTTTCTTATATATATATGATCATTGTAAACATCAATATACACAACAATCTTGTAATCAATACAATCAATCAATAATATCAATAGATACATTTATTCTGTATTTCTCTCTTCATACATTGAATTTATCATATTGGATTCTGAAACGTCATACATAGTTGAAATCAAAGGGAGAAAAGATTTTTGGGTTCATGTGGGAATTAAGGATGTTCACGGGTCGGATCGGACCTGGTTTGCTGTACACCCGTCACTCGAACCGATCACATTGGCTGGGAGAATCTGTCATCCGATTTTGACCAAGCAACTGTTCAAAATGACCACTTCGGGTAAGGGTTTTGGTGGTCAAGTTTCGGTCGAAACTGTAACAGATCTTCAGACCATGAATAGATTTGAGAGAGATGAAGGAAAGAAGAGTTTGGGGGGACAATATGAGGGAGGGGGTTTCACATGGGAGCATATTTGAAAGGGAGAGACAGAGAGATAGATCTGAGAAACAAAATTACACAGAGAAGGATGTGAGAGAGGGACTTCATCAAGGTTGAGCATCAGAGCCATCTCCGGTGTGAGAGATGAAGAGACGAAGCTAATGGCCTCATCAATCCGAGAGAGAGATTCGGACAGCAACAAAACTCTACTACTTGATTGAGAAAGAGAATACACAGTAGAGATAAAACTCTGTAGTGAGGTTAAAAAAAATGAAACAGAAAAGTCATAATATTAATTGTGACAGATAGAGAGAGAAAAGAGATTGGGAAGATAAAAAGACTTCGTGATTATGAGGGGGAGAGAGAGAGAGCTAGAGAGTAAAGAAAAATCTCTGCAGCAAGGAAGGTGAGAAAAAAGAGGGAACAGAGAAGTCAGAATATTGATTGTGACTAGAGAGAACAAAAAGGAGTTGAAAAGAGAAGGTGTGATAAAAAGTAAGGTGTAATTTTATAACACCCAATCATATAATACCAAGTGTATATGGAAGAGACGAGATTGGGCTTAGAACACTTCCAATACTAGAAAGCCATGTGTATGATTAGATGGTTCGGGTGTAGTCAATAATTTTTTTGGAAATCTGAGCACTGACCGGTACTGAATTTTTTTTTCATTTTTTAACCATGGTCCGACTATGTAGCATTCGAAATTGACCATGGCTCGATGGTTCGAGTTGGTTCGGTTGGTTGAGTTGGGTATAACGGGTTTATGAACAGTCCTAGTGGGAATATTAGGTTATGAATGAACCACAATTAAGGCCTTTGGCTAGAGTTTTAGGCAATGAAGGCCTGAAAAATGCAAAAAAGGTTTCTGCATAGATTGGAAAAAAAAAAAAATCAGCAATGATGAAAGTTGAAAAATTGAAAAAACAAGAAGCCTAATTTGGTTTTGATACCATGACAGAATATGAGAAATCTCTTGTTAATATTCAACCAAAGAATGTACAGAAATATATAGGAAAAAACTAAGGTATAAAAGGAACTCTCTATGACCTAATCCTCATAAATCAGGGATATTAACTTTCTAATTATAGGACATATACACAGACATATACATAGCTATAATACACATTTTCCCCACTTCCAATACTAGAAAGCCATGTGTATGATCAGATGGTTCGGGTGTAGTCAATAATTTTTTTGGAAATCTGAGCACTGACCGGTGAACTGAATTTTTTTTTCATTTTTTAACCATGGTCCGACTGTGTAGCATTCGAAATTGACCATGGCTCGATGGTTCGAGTTGGTTCGGTTGGTTGAGTTGGGTATAACGGGTTTATGAACAGCCCTAGTGGGAATATTAGGTTATGACTGAACGACAATTAAGGCCTTTGGCTAGAGTTTCAGGCAATGAAGGCCTGGAAAATGCAAAAAAGGTTTCTGCATAGATTGGAAAAAAAAAATCAGCAATGATGAAAGTTGAAAAATTGAAAAAACAAGAAGCCTAATTTGGTTTTGATACCATGACAGAATATGAGAAATCTCTTGTTAATATTCAACCAAAGAATGTACAGAAATATATAGGACAAAACTAAGGTATAAAAGGAAACTCTCTATGACCTAATCCTCATAAATCAGGGATATTAACTTTCTAATTATAGGACATATACACAGACATATACATAGCTATAATACACATTTTCCCCATCTACTGAGCTGTCAAATTTTCACAGCCTATTCATATCATAATTACCGATTCTAACATTAAAAATAACCCTATAGAAGCTTAACATAAACTTAAACTTAGATGAAAATATATTTAATGTATTAGCAGATGGTTTAGGAGTGTTGAAACCAATAATAATGGTTGAGAGAGAGAAATATGAAAGAAATATGTATGTATGTATGTATGTATGTATTATGTGTGATATATTATATGAATCAATGTATAAACCTCTCCTATATATAGAAGAGATTATAGACAATCTATAGACAGCATTTATCAGATTAGGACCTAAAGTCATCCCAAAATGTCAATCATTGAAAGGAGCCGTAATGGTTGAAAGTCTAATGGTTGAAAGCATATACGTTCATACAAACATCCTCCCTCAAACTCAAGGAGGATAAGCATCAACTAACTTGAGTTTGGAAACCAAATCATTGAAACGACTAGGAGGATGAGCCTTCGTGAAAATATTGGCAGGCTGATCAGCAGAAGCAATAGGAAGGAGGTGGATAGTGCCACGAGTAACATGCTGACGAATGAAATGGTAGTCAATCTCAATATGTTTGGTGCGATCATGGAAGCATCATTACGAGCAATCCGAATGGCACTTTGATTGTCACAGTAGAGAGATAGCACCAGAGAAGGAAACACCTATGTCAGTAAGAAGCCAACGAAGCCACATAAGTTTCTGAGTAGTGTTAGTAAGGGCACAATATTCAACTTCTGTACTAGAACGAGCAGTGAGAGATTGTTTCTTGCTACGCTAGGCAAGAAGTGATTCCCCTAAGAAGAAACAGAAACTCTTAGTGGAGCGGTGATTAGTAGGATCCCCAGCCAATCAGCATCAGAAGAGGCACGAAACTCAAATGATGAGTGGGCAGAATAATAAAGTCCATAGAACAGGGTTCCTTTAAAGTAGCGGAGTATGCCAAGTAGAATAGTGTAATGAGGGTTGCAAGGACCCGACATGTACTGACTAACAAGATGAACAATATAAGCTATGTCAGGACGAGTCACGGTGAGATAAACAAGACTGCTTACAAGCTGGTGATAAAGAATAGCATCTGAGATAAGATCTCTATCAAGAGGAGTGAGACGAGTCTGAGTATCAACCGGAGTAGTGGCAGCCTTGTAATCAGTAAGAGCAGCACGAGCCAAAAGATAAGATGTATATTTGGCTTGGGATAAATAATAACACTAGTAGAATCATGAGAGATTTCAAGACCTGAGAAATTATTGAGAGAACCAATGTCTTTCATCTCAAAGTGTCGGCTGAGAGATTGTTTAAGGCTAAGAGTACTGGCCACATCATCACCGGTGATAATCATATCATCGACATAGAGAAAAAGAAGAATGACGCCATGAGCAGTTGTCCGAACACACAGAGCAGAGTCATATGAGCTAGAAGTGAAGCCAAGATCATTAATGGTGGAACTGAACTTAGCAAACCAAGCACGGGAGGCTTGTTTGAGACCATAGAGAGTATGCTGAAGTTTGCAAACCTTATTAGCCGGATAGGTAGACCCAGGGGGAGGTTGCATGTAGACCTCCTCTAGAAGATCAGCATTAAGAAAGCATTTTCGACATCCATTTGGGAAAGATCCCAGTGTCGAGTAACAGCAACAACAATGGGGCTGCGAATTGAGGTAAGCCTAGCAATAGGAACAAAGGTCCCCTCATAGTCAATGCCATATTCCTGAGTGAAACCTTTTGCAACAAGGCGAGCGTTGTACTGCTCAATAGAACTATCAGAGTGAGTCCTGATTTTGTACACCTATTTGCAGCCAATTACAGTTTTTCCAGGAGGAAGATCAACAATGGTCCAAGTTTGATTTTTGTTGAGAGCTTGAAGTTTATCAGTCATAGCTTGCTGCAATAGAGGATTAGTACAAGCCTCGCGATAGGAGGTAGGTTCATGAGTAGAAAAAGCAGTGGAACCAACAATATAATCACGAAGATAAGCAAATTGTTGAGTTACCCAGGTTAGATGACTTGTGGGAGAGAGCATAAAGAGAGATAGGAGGCTCAATTGGAGAGTCATCTGGTGAGGGAGTAGTCGAGACGGGATCGTGTAAAGACAAAGCAGAACCATCAGAGGGAGTAGGTGAGACGGGATCAGGTGTTGGCAAAGGCATCTCTGAAGGGAAGGAACCTACATCAAAACTATTAGAGAAGAGATCTAGAGATGATTATATAGAATGGAAGTAGAAGATGATGATAAGTGGAATGAGAATAAGGATGAAAACATTATATGCTTCTAGAAAACCACATGACGAGAGATACAAAGACGTTTAGCAATAGGATCCTAACATCGATAGCCTTTATGTTCAATCTCATACCCGGGAAAGCAACAAAGATGAGAACGGGGTTCAAGTTTGGTGTGTTCATCAGGTTAGAGGAGGACAAAACATGCATACCCAAAAACTTGAAGATGGGTGTATGGAGGACGAGTGCCATGCAAACGTTCATAAGGAATTTGATAGTTAATGACAGGAGTAGGGACATAGTTGATAGTGTATATAGCAGTAAGTGCTGCTTCTCCCCAAAAACTTTCAGGACATAAGGAGAGAAGAAGAGCTCGTGTAGTGTCAAGCATGTGCCTATGCTTTCGTTTAGCACATCCATTTTGTTGAGATGTGCCAGCACAAGAATGATGAGGCTAAGTACCCTGATTCTGAAGAAAAGAAAATCAAGATCCCTATATTCAATAGCATTATCAGATCGGAAAATTTTAATAGTTTTAGAGAATTGGG